TTTTTTTCTTTTGTTTTGTTTTGTTTTTCGAGACAGGGTTTCTCTGTAGCTTTAGAGCCTGTCCTGGAACTAGCTCTTGTAGACCAGGCTGGCCTCGAACTCACAGAGATCCGCCTGCCTCTGCCTCCCAAGTGCTGGGATTAAAGGTGTGCACCACGAGAACTTTCTTTCCATCCCACTTAAGGTTCTGCATTCACAGAATCAAAGGGGCTGCCCCCAGCTCTTTGTTTGGTTTTAGTTTTGGTCTTTGAGATAGGGGTTCTCTGTGTAGCCCAGGCTGTCCTGGAACTCGATCTGTAGACCAGGCTAACCTCAAATTTAGAGGTCCACGTGCTCTGCCTCCGGAGTGAGTGCTGGGATTAAAGTGTGTGCCACCACTGCCAGGCTGTCTTCTACTCTTTTTTTTTTTAATCTATTTATTTATTATGTATACAATATTCTGTCTGTGTGTATGTCTGCAGGCCAGAAGAGGGCACCAGACCTCATTCCAGATGGTTGTGAGCCACCGTGTGGTTGCTGGGAATTGAACTCAGGACCTTTGGAAGAGCAGGCAATGCTCTTAACCACTGAGCCATCTCTCCAGCCCCTGTCTTCTACTCTTAAGCAACATCCTCATAATGGTAGTTCCCTGTCCCAGCCTGAGTCCCAGCGTGATGTCACTGAGCAAGTAGATGCCCAATGTGCTGCTTAAACCTAGCTAGAACCTGGTGCTCACAGTTTTCTTATGACCTAGGCACAGATCCTTGTGTGGAGCAGGCGGCCAGGGACTAAGTATCGCTGATTTGCCGCAGTCCTGCCCTACCCGGTGAGATCCGCGAGAGCTTCCCATAGTGCTGAGGCTGCACCATTCTTTACACTGTGTTGGCTAAGCAGCAAAGACCTGCAGTCATCCCCTACAGAGATGGTAGAAGCCAGGTGCAAGGCTGCCTGGTGTTCATAAGATGGTACCCACAAGTCTACCAATGTTACCACTTGACTTGGCTGTTGGGTACAGAGAATGAATAGACAAGCTGCTTAGTCTTCAGTATCTGATTGCTGGGCGGCAGCCACTTTACTGCCTAACTGGGAAAGGGCAACCTCCATAAGAGAGGAGAGGGGTGTAAAATGGTTAACTTCATTTCAGCTTCTCACAGGAGAGGAGACTTTGAGTGACCCAACTGCTCCAAGGAGCCAGGAAGCAATTAAACTCAGCTCAAGATTACTTGTTTATTTTGCATGATTTCAAAGATCAAAGGCTGACACTAGGTTCCTTTGTGTTGTGCTGGGTCCACTGCAGCTATAAGGCTGCCTAAGCCTGCCCCAGTGACTGGTGGGCAGGACCTGGAATGCAGTTGCTTGGTCCCCCAGCTACTGGAGTGCAGGCACATCTAGGAACTCCAGCCTGCTGTGCACCCGAGATAGCCGAGGGCCAGAGGCAGCAGTTGGTTCAGGGCTCATCACCTGGCACCACCACTTAATCCCTAGGGATACCCATTTCGCTGATACAGCACCCCATCTTTAAATGGATAATGTGCTGACCATGGTGGCCCATGTCTTTAATCCCAGAACAATAATTACCAAGATAGCTGTAGCTAAAAAGTCAAGTTACATAGCCAGTCTGACTCGGGGAATCTTCCAGAGGCCTCATTTCCCTTCCATGTCACTCTCTGGCCTTTCAACATACACCTCCACTAAAGATTGTGAGACTCGAGTCGCCCACACACCTCCAGGATTATTGAAACTCAAGCCAGAAAAATAAAAAGAATCCCAACAAATTCCCGATTCTTCACAACTACGTCGAATCAGGGTCCAGAAGTGCAAGTTTATTTCCATCGATTTACCTCACGGGAAGCCTTCCTGGGACCCGCCTCTGCCCTGGGTGTTCTTTCAGCTCCCCCTAGCGCAGCATTTACCAAACAGTGGAACTGGGAGCTAACCCCAGTCAGGGAGTCCGTGGCCTTCCAACACTCAGCCTGGAGGAGCGGTTTCTTGAACACAGATAAACGAAGAAGGAAGGAGGGGAAAGGATCAAGCTGACTTCCTGCCAGGACCGCCCAGTCGAAGGCATCCGCAACAACAAGAGCCCAGGTTTCCTGTCCGCTGGGTTCTAGAAACACAGGGGCGAAAGGTGAAGCCCTCCGCTGGCTAAGCCAATGTGTGGTGCTGGATCTGATGGGTCCCTGGGTCTTGGCAGCCCTAGTAGAAGGGCGAGCAGCAACTGGGATGAAGAGGCCATGTGTCCTGCACCTGTGAGTGCTTGCACTTAAACTAATGTGTAGCCGTACCCACTCCCACCCGCAAGCTGGAGGCTCTCCCGGGTCTTAAGGAAGCCAGGCCTTGACAGACTTGTTCATGGTTCATGGTGCCAGGTGACTTAGTGACGACACTCACATGCAGTGGGACCTAGCTTCTGACACTCACATGCAGTGGGACCTAGCTTCTGGGACTTTAAGCCAATGGCAGCTTCCCGTGGTTCCTGCTTCCAGTCCGACTTTGATGCTCTGTGGACCAGGCCCCCTGAGGGGAGGACACAGCTACAGATTCAGTTTTAGTTGAGGGCTACATCTACCTGTTCTCCTGCAAAAGGCTGGGAAGTCCTCTGATAAGCCCTTACCGAAGGCAGACCCAGCACATCTCTAAGGTGCATGGGGCCAATTGAGCAGCCTCAAATTTCACCTTGACCTCAGGCCCTCTGGGAGGTCATCACCTCCTAGAAACTGGCCACTAGGAGAGGCCTTGCAGTTCCCTGTCTTCAGGAGAAGGTAGGAACTCAATGAACCCAGGTCCCTAAACAAACAGCAAACCTTGTTTCTGAACTGTGTCAGGAGAGACTTTTAGCAGCACATACATAGTAACCCTTTGGTTGGCTTAAGACAAGGGTGACATTAAGTAGGGTCAGCCAACTGCTAATCTCCAGCCCTGCTATCGTTATGACAGACTATTCCAGAATATTGTCACAAAGACTAAGCTATTGGGATGGTTGCTGGAGAAGAGGCGAAACCCAGCACCAAGAAGTGTCAGAGGCTGAAACTGACAAGGAAGACACCTTGCATGTTTCCTTTTCTAGAAGGGACCTGCTTACTCACCCTAAAATTGAGGTTGGGCCCTGGTTCCCACCAGTCCTCTCTCCAGAATGCCCTGGGCAGAGCTAGACATCAGAGTGACCACTTAAGAATGTTAGAAACACACAAAGAAACTGACAGACCCAGATTCTCGGAACTCCACCGACAACTCACTGGAAGCAGGGAGGGAAGCTCTCTAGCATCCTACAGCCAGTGTTCTGGTCGCTCCCTTGTGGTTTTCTTCTGTAAAAAACTGGAATAATAACCACTCCCAGTAACAGGGCCATTTGTCCCCATAACCTTTGCATCTACACAATGCCTGGTTCACTGCAGCGACTCATTGTTTGCTCTGGGAATGAGTCAAGATATTCCCACAAAACACTGGAGTCTTATGTTCAGAACATCTCTTAGAAGGCCCACGCATGTGCTACTGGAACGAGATATTTTATTAATCAGATGAATTAACCAGAAGAAAGTAACACCCCTTCCCTCCATCACTGAGCTGGTTCCGCTGCAGAGGACCTGGAGTCTCGGAGTAATGGGTTCCTCATTCAAGAGTGCATGATTTTCTGCCCCTTCATTCTCCTTACTTGTCTTAAAAAACTAGAGGCTCTGGAGAGATGGCTCAGTAGTAAGAGTCCTTTTTCCAGAGGACCTAGGTTTGATTTCCAGCACCCACATGAAAGTTAAAACTGTAACTCCAGTCCCAAGGGATCCGACACCCTCCTCTGGCCTCTGTGAGCACTGGGTACTCGTGGTACACAGATAGGCACGCAGGCAAAACACCCAGATACATAATACAGATAGATAGAGGTGGGGGGTGTTCTCTGTGTAGCCTGGAGACCCACCTGCCTTTGCCTCCCAAGTGCTAGGATTAAAGGCATGCGCCACCTCACCTGGCACACACACACACACACGCTTGAGAAATTGCACCTGACCTGATAGAGGTGGGGTGGTGAGCAGTAATTTTGCTTCAGCCTCTGGAGTGGAGGATAGAGATAAATTAGAAAACCCCCCACCCCACCCCCCTTTGCTCATCCCCTTTCCAGTCTTCCCCTGTCCTATATTTTGTGCCCCAAGGTTGTCACCCTCCAGGAAAGACTGCCCTCACACATACTGAGTCCAGAGGGCCAGGCACAGAGAGAGGACTCATGCACCTCAGGATGTAGTTTCCCCAAGATAGGGGAGGACCACCCCATTGAGATGCCTCAAGGAAACAGGTTGAAAGCTGGGTGTGGTGCTCCATGCCGGTGATCCTGGCCCTCAGAAGGTTGAGTCAAGATTGGGGGGGGTGGTGGCACAGGACTTTAATCCCAGCACTCAGGTGGCAAAAGCAGACCAACCTGGTCTACACAGAGAGTTCCAGTACAGCCTGGACTACAGGATGTGACTTTATATCAAGAAATGCAAGGGAAGAGAAGTAGGAAGGCAGGGAGGGAGAAACTTAACACACAGGAATAGAAATCGGGGGCCTAGCCCGGACTCCCTAGCAACGGCTTTGAGCCAGTACTCTAGACAGCATTATGGTTGGAGGCTTCTAACTCTCAGTTCATCCATTGTACTTACCCATCAGACAGGCATGGCAAAGAACAATTTATGTTGTTATTGTTGTAAAAATGGTTTCATGTATCCCAGGCTGGCAAACTTATAGCTTGAACACCAACAAAGAGCAGTTGTTTGGTTCCTGCTATGATGAAGCTAAGACTTAGTAAGTACATTGATATAAGAAGATAAAGAATTGGGGGGCTGGAGAGATGGCTCAGAGGTTAAGAGCACTGGCTGCTCTTCCAGAGGTCCTGAGTTCAATTCCCAGAAACCACATGATGGCTGACAACCATCTGTAATGAGATATGGTGCCCTCTTCTGGCATGGAGGTGTACATGCAGGAGGCACATTGTATACGTAATAAATAAATCTTTTTTTTTTAAACTTTATTTTTATTTTCTGTGCATTGGCATTTTGCCTGGATGTCTGTGTGAGGGTGCCTTTGGAACCGGAGTCAGAGAGTTGCGAGCTGTCATGTGGGTGCTGGGAGTTGAACCTGGGTCCTCTGGAAGAGCAGTCAGTGCTCTTAACCACGGAGCCATCTCTCCAGTCCCTAATAAATAAATCTTTTAAAAAAAATTACAGTTAAGAAGATAAAGAATTGTTCTGGGTTTTCTTTCAGCCCACTTATATCCCAGCATTGCCCGCATACTGCCTGGCATACAGGTACCCAGTAGCAAGTTTTCTCCTCCCTCTTCTCCTCTGTCAGGTTCTCAGTCTACCCTCTGAGGACAGCACCTCTGAATTCCCTGCTACAGCCTGGCAATAGCTCTAGGCCTACAGCTCAAACATCCAGACCCCCTACCTGCCCCAGAAAACATGTCTGTGTCCATGCTGCTTCTTGACTTCTCCATCAAAGGGCAAGTGCTTAAACTTGTGTTTTCTTTTTTTCTTGGGCTTTCATTACCTAAACACACACACACACACACACACACACACACACACACACACTTTTTCTTCCATTGTCTGTCCCTCCCCTGAGATCTTTTTTTCTTTTCCAAAGGTTCTCATTCTCCCTCTGAACACTAATCTCCCCTTCTCTTGGCCCATTTTAAATTCTGTCTGAAGAAAGAAAAGGGAAGACACATACATACTCCATACTCCTGGAGAATTGGGCAATTCTGCAGATGCACCAGCAATCCCAAAGAGGGTACCCCCAATCTTCTGGCATTTAGGGGAACACAGAAAAGTCTGGCTTCTGCTCACAGGAGCCTTGCAGCTCAGCTGACCGCCAGCATAAAAGGCCACAAGACCTAGCCAGAGAAGACAGGGTTTTGCAGTGTCTGAACGTCTGTGTCTGCGCTCTCTTCCCACTTGTGCAGCCCCAGCTCTAGGCCAGGTGAGGTTTTCTTCGATGAGGAGCGTGTCTAAATTTCCACCTGCGCCTGAGAGACTGTGCCCTACAATCTTACAGCATCATACCATCTTAGAGCATCATACCGTTTTTTCCTCTCTTTCGTGCTGGGCACGGAATCCAGCACTTGCCACACGCTAGGCAAGTGTTCTATCACTGAGCTACGCACCCAACCCCATCTCTAAATTTTACTCTCCCAACGACCCTATAAAGTTGACAGCTGCTGTATCAAGGCGAATCAGCAGTTCGGAGAGGCGAAAGGACTCTTTTGAAGTTACGAAGCTCCAAAGAAAGGGGAAGGGCGGGGAAGAGGAGAAATTTAGCATTTCTAGCTGGGGTGGGGGTTGGAAAGGGTGGGGGAAATGCAGGCCAGGAGAAGCTGGGTTACTTGGAGTCAGACTCCACCTCCTGACCTTGTTCTCCTCCCGCCGGGAAGTGGGGAGCTTCGAGGGGCAAGGAGCAGTCTCAGCTCGACCCTGGGCACAGAATCTCCAGTTGGGCGCCTGCCTTGAGGTTTGGCCTCCTTGAACGCCTGATGGCCTTGAACTCTAGATTAAGGGGCCCAAGCCAGAGAAAAGCCCCAGAGACTCAGAAGCCTTTGACCAGGAAGACAGAAACACGGAAAAAAGTACGAGGAAGCGTGCGAAAGAGCAGGCGCAGCTCCTTCCTGTGCAGGTCAAGACCCTTGGATTGCATTGAAAGAATCCTTCAAAAGCCAGGGAGGGCACAAAGTTCAGAGGCGGAGCAATCCATCCCGCCTCCTCGAGGGCAGGTGGAGAGAGACAGTGAAGGTCTGGCCCGAACCTTCCCTGCGACTTTAGGGGAACCGTAAGCCTTCTGCGGCTGCAAGGACCGCAGGAGGCCCGCGCTTTCTCAGAAAGTGAAAGGAGTGGGCGGGGGGCGCGGCCGGGGCGGGGCCGGGCGGGCGTTGCCGAGGCTCCGCCCCGGGGCAGTCCCAAGCCCCGGGCGCTGAGCGTCTCCAGTCCCCGCCGCGCCGCGGGCTGGTGGGCTCGGCTGCTACTCCAGGTGTCGGGAGATGACCCTGCCCGGGCGCCCGACGGGCATGGCACGGCCACGGGGCGGAGGACCCTGCAGCCCTGGGCTGGAGCGGGCCCCGCGCCGGAGCGTCGGGGAGCTGCGCTTGCTCTTCGAGGCGCGCTGCGCCGCGGTCGCCGCCGCAGCAGCCGCAGGGGAGCCCCGGGCCCGCGGGGCCAAACGGCGTGGGGGACAAGTGCCCAACGGGCTCCCGCGGGCTGCCCCTGCCCCAGTGATCCCGCAGCTCACCGTGACAACCGAGGAGGACGTGGCCCCGGCCAGCCCCGGGCCGCCAGAGCGGGAGGGGGACTGGCTCCCGGCCGCTGGCTCGCACCTGCAGCAACCTCGCCGCCTCTCCACCTCGTCCCTCTCTTCCACCGGCTCCTCGTCGTTGCTCGAGGACTCGGAGGACGATCTATTGAGCGACAGTGAGAGCCGGAGCCGCGGCAACGTGCAGCTGGAAGCTAGCGAGGACGTGGGGCAGGTACGGGCCGCGGGGGCGGGGCCAGCGGGGGCTGCGCGCCGGGGACTCGGCTCCCCGCTGTGCTGGGACCGGCTCGCGTCCCCCACGGATAGTCCAAGCCTCACTGCTCGGGAGATACATGGGGGGGGGGGGGGCGGAGAGGGACCCCAGGACGACCTCTGGCCTTGGCTCATTTTCGGGGGCTAGGCGGGCGATTGTGGTTGAGCGCTTGGGCGTCTGAGAGAGTGAGGAATACACGACCCACCGGGACGGACCAGGCGGGTCCGCGGGCATACCCGGGGAACTTCAGGGTTGGGGAGATCAGAGCGGGGTAGCCTTGCCCCGGGAGCCCTGGGGGAGAAAGGGGCGCGTGAGCTCTTGCCTCTTTCTCCTCCCCCTCTCGGTGCCGCGGCCCCACCCCCGCCGTTGCCACGGTTTCCCTCTCCTGAGTGGGAGTGGAGCGGAGCTCCTGGCTCTGCTCCGGAGCCGCTGCCGTCTGCTCCCCGCGCGCGCACGAGGCGTGGACGCGGGAAGGGAGGGGCACGGGACTGGGAGCTCTAGAACCGAGCGGAACCCAGATCCACCTGGTGCGCCCCCCCCCCGCGCCTCCCCCGGGCCTCCTGCTCCTAAGGGTGAAGAAGGTAAACTGAGGCTGACAGGAGACAGGATTTTGCTTGTTAGTCGCTGCCTCTAGTAGTGTGGATGTTCCAGAGCCAGTTTAACCCTCAGCACCAGCTAGTGTGAAGTGAAGTCACGCGTGGTGTGGCCCTCCTTGGATAGTAGGGCCATCCTTCACCTCCCACCCCCTGTGCTGGAGATTGAACCCAGGGTCTCAAACACTCCACCACTGAGTTTACGTCCCCAGCCCGCTTTTATTCTGAGACAGTCTCACTAAATTGCCAAGTTAGATTGGGACACAGCAGGTAGCCCATTCAAGCCTCGAACTTGCCGTCGTCCTTCTTCGGTAATCGCCCTCGTTTTAACCGTGGCCAGATGCTTAAATTAACTGCCCGTGGACTGTGCACCCTTACTCTAGATGCATTTTACCCAAGCGTTCCTCGAGTGGCGAGAGAGACCGGGAACAGCCCGCTCTGCTTCAGTACCCTCCAGCCCTGTCCCGGCTACTTCGAGTGAGAGTAAGACGCGTGCCTGCGTTGCCTAGACACCTTGAGAAGAGCGCTAAGGTGTGGCCTGGGCCTCCTGAACCTGGCATCCCCACACACTGGGATCGGACCAAGGGAGGGAGGCTGTGTAACGACTCGAAGTACGGCTGTGACTCAGAGACTTACAATACCCAGAGAGGGGGGTGACACACAAGAGAAAGAGGGGAGCTCACAGCAAGGCTGTCGTCTCTCCTCCAGCTTCCTGTAGCCAGGTGTAGGTGCGGGGGCTCAGTCATGAGTCCGCTGCGCCCCTCGCCCTGACATGCCAGCGTACCCTCGGCGGGGTGGGCGTTCTTGAGGGGACTCTAGCCGGGGTACTGAGGCGAATGCGAGCGGTGGGAGGACCTCTGAAGAGCCTGAGCCGTAGATCGGCCACTCCCCTGCTCAAATCTCTGACACCTGAGAGGCGGGCCCCAGGGAAGGGCGCGACCGGTGAGCTGGGAGGACCCGGACTGGGACGCAGGCACACCCGCTTTCCTGTTCCGCCGAGGACCCGTCTAAGTACTCAGGGAGAGGCTGAGCGGAGGAGGACCCGAAGTCCAAATCTGGGTGCAGTGTAGGTAGCCCCAGCAGGGGTCAGGACGTCGAGAACAAGCGGAAGTTAGCCATCCCTGGCGAGTCTTCCTCGTCCTTTCCCACCCTTCGTGTCTACGGGAGCCTCCGGGAGCAGCTCCAGATGGCCTCGCAGGGCCTTTTCAAACTCCCAGGCTGTGTCTTCCAGGCCTTCCCAACCCCCAGCCCGCCGGGGCCTCCCCGAAGGCAAACAGCACCGGAGCTGCAGATAAGCCTGGAGCTGTTGACAGAGGCTGCCTGCGTCTGCGTGGAAGGGCCAGGAGCGGACTTTGCCTCACAGCAGGCTCCACAGCGTGCCTGCCCAGGCCGCCCTTAAGGGCTTTCCCAGGCGGGTCCCCCTGACCGTTAAGGATGCACCTGGGGAAAGATATGGCGGCCGCACTCTGGGCTGCCACTAGTCATGTCTCACACCCAACTCGAGGCCCTGGAAGGATCTGCCTGCCTCAGCCAGGCTCTCTGACCTTCCCTTCTACTTCCCAGAGCTTGTCTAGCCTGCTCAGATAGGGCATGTAGGACTGGGCAGCTTCGCTCCTTCCAGTGGCCTTTTCTCTGATGGAAGGAGAAGTCAGGAACAGGAAAACTGACTTCTCCAGGGGAGAAGCTGGAGACCTACTCCAACGGCAGATGCCGTGACTCCGAGGCTTTGGCTGTCTCCTCAGACAATCGTGGGGGTGACCCCAAGCAGAGGAGAGGGCGTTTGGTTCTTAGGTGGTTTTATTCTCTCAATAACTCAGGCTAGGTAAGGAGGCCTGGATGCTGTCCCCTCCTGGACTCAGAACCCCCCCACATCATTTCCCACTAATTATAGAGTGGAATTTAGGTTAACAGACTTCCTTTTTAAAAAGCAAATGCCCATGGGAAGGTGAAGTCGCGGGTCACTTATACCTTAGTGTAAATCATTTTGTAAATTTAAATTGATTGCTCTCCCCACCATCACCACAGGGAGTGCTAGTTTGATAGGACAATTGGAACATGAGGAGGGGGTGGGGCTGGCAGGCGTTCAACCAGGATTGGCGGCTCTGTAGAGCAGTGGTTCTCAACCTTCCTAATGCTTTGATCCTTCAATACAGTTCTTCGTGTGGTGGTGACCCCGGCCATAAAATGATTTCCATTGCTACTTCATAACTCGAATCTTGCTGCCATTATGAACTGTAACATAAATATCTGTTTTCCAATTGTCTTGGGCAACCTCTGTGAAAGGTTCATTCGTCCCCTAAAGGGGTCGGGACCCACAGGTTTCGACCCTCTGTTATAGAAGCAGGAAGCTGGATGGAAACTAAAGACAGAGTGAAAGATGTAGTCTGGCAGGAAATAGGCGATCTGGGTTGATGGGAGGAGCAGATATCCCTAAGGCTTCCAAACAGAGCCTAGCCAAGGGAGGGTCTAACGGTAGGATACAGCAAGTCCCTGCCTATAGAGAAACACTTTCTGCTCATCTGTGGGGGTGAGAAATTATCAGAGGGCCCTCCTGTGTCATCGGGGAGTCCTGGACACAAAACTACCTAGCCTTTGCACCAAATGTCCAGGTGGCCTACGGCTGTGGCTGTATGTTGGTTGGTACAAGCAGCCTCTGCATGGAGGGAGGGCTGGGATATATCTTCCCTGCTGTTGTTTATGAGCCAAACCCCTCACTCACCCACCAACCTGAGAATGGTTCTCTAGCGGGCTCTCTGGATACATTTGTTTGTGAGTGCGTTATGTTCCCTGCAGAAGGAATCGCTCTTAAGAGGGAAGACGGCAGTGAGCTGGTTTCCACGGCTCTTACCTCAACTGGTTCCATGGTTCACCATATCCGGTGGTGGCTGGGGGACTGAGCTGAGATAATGGACCTGGGAGGCCTTTGCTACCTGCAGAGTTAGGATCTGCTTGCTGTTTGCTTATGTGAGACCCACAAAACCAAGGCAGGGAAGAGACAAGCTGATACTGTTACCGTACATTAACCCATCAGCCAAGTGGTAGTATATACATTTTTTTTTTTTTTGGTTTTTCGAGACAGGGTTTCTCTGTGGTTTTGGAGCCTGTCCTGGAACTAGCTCTTGTAGACCAGGCTGGTCTCGAACTCACAGAGATCCGCCTGCCTCTGCCTCCCGAGTGCTGGGATTAAAGGCGTAGTATATACATTTTTAAAAGATCCATCTTAAATGTTTCTCGGGCTGGCCTCAAACTTCTAGGTTCACGCCATCTTCCATTTTCAGCCTCCCAGGTAGCCAGGACCACAGACATATGCCACCATGTCCAGTCTACCCATTTCTACCAGGCCCCTCTCCACCTGCAAACCCCTTCACTGAAACCACAGGACCCCAAAGGAAGGCTGGTGCAGTTTCCCCACACAGCCTGGCTGGTCCTGGATCTCACTCTGTAGACCAAGCTAGCCTTGAACTCAAAGATCCACCTCCCTTTGCCTCCAGATTAAAGGTGTGCACCACCACTGCCCGGCTTCCCCCAGAGTTTTGTTAGGCATCTCAAACCACCCGAGCCCTTCGCTATCCCTAAACTCATCCTTTGGATGAAGGCGGTAGTGGGAGGCCCTCAGATCCATCCAAACCTTCACGACACCCTGTAACTGTTTCATCGTGTGAGAGTGTCCTGTCACGTGTATCCCATTTGATCCCCAGAAGGAAACTGCTAGAATGATTGGACCATGGTGAGGAAGCTGGGTTGAGGAAGCAGGTCATGAGGATGCTAACTTTTCTGAGTACTGATTTCCACGTGTAATGGTACTAATAACAGCTCAGATTCTTGCTGTGTATGGGCATCGTGATCATGATTCTCAAGTTGGGTGTGAAAGAGGAGTTTTAGGGTGCTTCTGCTAAATACGCATGCTACATACATCACCTTCCTGGAATTTTACTTGAGGATTTGGGAGGAAGGGAGTTTTATAATAAAACTTGGATCTATTATGCAGCAAAATGCAAAGCTTGTATGTATTTAAAGATTTATAAAAGAAGTTTTGAAAGATGTCATGTTTTTAGTGGGCTGCTTCTGGCTACACCCCCAGATCCCTGGGGATTGGACATGTGATCACGCCCTAGCGTGCCATGTTGGGAAAGGGAGAGCAGTGAAGGCTGTGGGAGGATGAGAAGGTGCCTGGTGTGCAGTAGGCAGTCAGTAAATGGCTCGTGTTAGGGCAGCCGCTACATCCTCCCGGAGGAAACAGACCCACACGGATGGCAGCGCTGCTTGAACACACCGAGCAAAGCCAGGACTGGAAGCGGCTGCTCGCTCCCAACCCAGTGCTCTGCCACCACTCCCACCTCTTCCTCGGCAGTAAACTACCTCCTTGTTTCTTAGCACCCCCCTTTGGCAAGGAGGCTGGTTCCTGGGTTCTAGTGATTCCTGTACAAGACAAGCATCTGTGGGACAAGGCTTCAGACAAGACACATACATGAGCAAATCCCTGCCCATCAAACAGCAGATGGACTGCTGAGCTTGGGATAGGAGGTGGAAAGGGCCAGGGTGTGTGGTGCTTTCAGGACTGAGCGGAAGCCCGAGTAATGGCCTTGAGGCCAGAGACAGCACACCTGCAAATACCTACACATACCTGCAGTTTTATCTAAGAGGAGAGCCCTTCTTCAGCTTTGCATTTCATTCTCAGGCCTTAGGGTTTTCCATCCAGATCACAACCAAGGATGACTTGAGCTTTTGACTTTCTTAGCTAGTAGGAAGTGCATGGGATTCCGAGCAGCTAGGTGGTCTTAGGGAGCCTTGAGGTCTTTAATAAACCTTGGCAGGCTGTCCTCTCTTCCCTGGTCCTATGTAAAGGGTTGATTGTGATTGGTTGGCCTCCCTAAGTGAGAGAATTAGGTCCCAAGTGAGTAAATTCAGTATCTAAATTTGGCCTGATTCTCTCCATACCGAGGAATCAGATAAGGAGGGTCAAACTCAAGCCTCAGTGGTTACAACAGTTCAGAAAGAGTAATTGTCTCCCCATTCCACAGATGGGAAACACCCAATACACAGAAGCATTTTTCTCGGGCCTCCTGAGGTCTTGGGAGAAATGCAGATGTTTAGTTCCAACCCTGGCTGACTATGGGAGACCTCAGACTCAGCATCAAGGGTGGCCTTCAAGTGGTTCTGATAGCCACAAAGTTCAGAAACCTTACAGAAGAATTAAGTAACCTGCCCACTCAGTGGCAGAGCTGTGTTCAGCCCTAAGTCTTCTGCTGCTAAATCTCAGGCTCCTTTCAGACTTTTTGAGAAGCTAGAATGACCTTTCCCCTGCCGGTCTCAGTACCTGCCATACTGGCTCACAACGCATTTTCTTTGGGTAGATGGCTGAGTGAGTGAGTAGTGAAGGCTTGAATGCCGCTAGTGGGGTGGTCAGGTTGGACTCCTGCACTAGCGGGGGAGGCTTACACGGTAGAGAGATGCTGACCTACCTGCGCTTGTTGCTTTCAGAAAAGCCACTGGCAGAAGATCCGTACCATGGTCAACCTGCCCGTCATGAGTCCTTTCAAAAAGCGCTACTCTTGGGTGCAGTTAGCGGGGCACACAGGTGAGCGTCAGTGCGGGAGGGTGAGGTTGTTGTGACAGGAAGGAGTTGGACAGTTCTAACTGGAACCCTTCTGCAGGGAGTTTCAAAGCTGCGGGCACCAGCGGCCTGATATTGAAGCGCAGCTCGGAGCCAGAACACTACTGCCTGGTGCGGCTGATGGCCGATGTGCTGCGCGGCTGTGTTCCCGCCTTCCATGGTGTAGTGGAGCGGGACGGTGAAAGCTACTTGCAGTTACAGGACCTGCTGGATGGCTTTGATGGCCCTTGCGTGCTTGACTGCAAGATGGGTGTCAGGTTTGTGTCCCCTCTCTTGGTCAGGCAGAATCAGTGAGGGAACCAAGGAACTGGGCTAAAAGCTCACATGGGGGTCCTTCATGCTCTGGCCCCGACCTGCACCTCACAGAACTTACCTGGAGGAGGAGCTGACCAAAGCTCGCGAGAGGCCCAAGCTGCGGAAGGACATGTACAAGAAGATGCTGGCGGTGGACCCTGAGGCACCTACTGAGGAAGAGCATGCGCAGCGTGCTGTCACCAAACCGCGCTACATGCAATGGCGCGAAGGCATCAGCTCCAGCACCACGCTCGGCTTCCGCATCGAGGGCATCAAGGTGGGTCAAGCTTCCTTGGCTTTGCAAGGCTTTTCTGACCTCTTGCCTCAACTGCCACCAGGAGACGCCCTCTGGTCGCCATCCTCTTGGTCCCCAGAGGTTAAAGCCCCAGGGAGGTACCACTGCCCTTTGCATGATCCTTTCTCCCCCCAGATGGGTCCGGGTCCCTGATACTCCTTGCCCACCTCCTTCAGAAAGCCGACGGATCTTGCAGCACTGATTTCAAAACTACACGAAGCCGAGAGCAGGTGACTCGTGTCTTTGAGGAGTTCATGCAAGGAGATGCCGAAGTGCTGGTGAGAGGAGGTTCCTAGAACCCTGAGGTTTGGGCATACCTGTTTACAAGAGTGCCTCTTGGTCACTCTTTCTAACGTCCTTACCTATGCCACCCCCAGGGGTCGCACTTCCCTCGTTGTACCGTAATTGTTTGACCTCTGCTCCTGGGGTGGGTGGTGTCTCCCTCCCCACAGCGTTTGTCAAGCAGAAATGCCTGTCACTGTCAGTAGAGCCTCCCCTGGTGCGAGATTAATTTGTCCACACTAACCCTTCCAGAGGAGGTATCTGAACCGCCTGCAACAGATCCGGGACACGCTGGAGATCTCAGATTTCTTTCGAAGGCATGAGGTAAGAGGTGGATGGGCTGGGGGCTGGCTTTGTGCTTTGTGAAAGAGAGAACGGGAAGGGGGGGCTCTCTGGGAGAAGCAGGTGGCCTGACTGCCATGGGGGGGGGGCCGGCAGGTGATTGGCAGCTCACTCCTCTTCGTGCATGACCACTGTCATCGTGCTGGCGTATGGCTCATCGATTTTGGCAAGACCACACCCCTCCCTGATGGCCAGATCCTGGATCATCGGAGACCCTGGGAGGAGGGCAACCGTGAGGACGGCTATTTGCTGGGGCTGGACAATCTCATTGGCATCTTGGCCAGCATGGCTGAGAGATGAGGCTGGGCCCATGTCCCCACCCGCCACTTGGGCCGGCTGGTCAGGCAGATGTGGACAGGTGGCTGCATCCCCACCATGCATGCCGGCAACAGACTGGAACCCCGCTGGGCGGGCAGTTCACATGGTCCGGCAGGACCAGGTGCCATCCACTAAGGGGGTATACTACCAATACCAGGAGTTGGCCTCCACACAGGCCTGTGTCCCCGAGCCGAGTGACACTGGTTTACAGGAGGGGAAGGAAACAATGGGCTTCTCCCTCAGCCCAGCTCAAGTGGCGTTGCACCTCCCTAGAGGGGCCAGACCCAGTATTTTATTTCACAGGTGTACAGACTTACTGGTTTACCCTCCTATGCTACAGTGGGCACCCTTCCTAATAAAACTCAAAGACACAGCTTCTGTGACTCAGGTCTCATCCCCTTCACCTCTGGTCCTCTCTTCCTTAGTTCCAGACTCAAGTCCACTCAGAACTGAAGAATGAGAAGGGTTTGTTGATGTTTTGTTTTTTAATTAGTATTAGAAACATTTGTAGCATGCAGGAATGGGCCAGATGAAAGATACTTATGGGGAGAGCACAGTCTAGGATCCCCAACTGAGTTCTGCAGTGGGCGGGTGGGTGGCCTCTGGTTCCAAAGACTGAGAGTGGCCAGGCCCTTCCCTAAGAGGGTTTGGACTGGTTTCCAGTGTGGAAAGGTCAGGCCCCGGGACAGCCCGGAAACATGCCTGAACACACAGCGCAAACTGTAGGGGGCAGAGGCTAATGGACTAACAAGTCATCTAGGTGCCTGGAAAAGAATGCAAGGAGGAGCCATTGCTGAAGTCAACACCTAAATCTTCACCCTTGGGCCCCCTTGGGGTCCAAGAGCCATAGGTGGGGTTCCAAAGGTTCTGAGGTTGGAGGCATCTGGATTTGAGGGCCTTGAGGCCAGAGGGCAGCCATGAGCCAAGGAGTCCTCCTCCCCAGCTTTTCAAGTTCTCTGAACTCAGCTGCAGGGCCTGTGGGGATCTAAGACCCTCCAACGACCTGTTCCCCAGGCCAGAGGCCCCTTCCTCCTCTAGAATGGGCCCTGGTTCCACCGGCAGGGGTGAATTCAGCACATCAGGGTCCTATAATGGGAGAGTCGGGGAACAGGCTTTCTTCCGGTCCTAGAGAACCAGGATAGTTAGCGGGGATCAAAAGGACACGTGAGAGTGGGGGAGGGGCAGAGGCACACCTGAGTGCAGTATTGAAGGCGCTCCAAGATGCTGGCGAAGTCAGGGCGGAGCTCAGGTTGGTGCTGCCAGCACTGTGTCATGATTCTGTACCTAGGGAGGGGCAGGAGTTCATGCCTCCCAAAGCCTTGAGGGACCTCCCTCCCTGGGTAGCATTGTTAACTCACACTGGCCCAGGGCAGTTCCTAGGAGGGTCCATCCGGTTCCCTGTGACAATGAAGTCTAGGACCTCCTGGTTGGTGTGCCCAGGGTAGGGCATATAACCCAGTGAGAAGATCTCCCAGAGCAGGACCCCAAAAGACCTGTGCCACAGGTGGGAGGAACAAACGAGACCCATCAACTACAGTCTCCTCTTGAGGTGGCCCAAAAGGGTAGGATTAGCCTCAGGACAGAGGAGGGGATCACAGGGGAGTCGTGCTGTCACCAGGAGTCTGTCTTGGATGTGAAAATGCCCTCCAGGAGAGCTTCTGGGGGCATCCATTTGACAGGGAGCAAGGCCCGGCCCCCCTTGCGGTAATAACTGGCCCTGTAGGAAGGAGAAAGTGCTGGTTTTCAAATGCTGTACGGTGAGTCTCCTTGGCGCAGCAGCGTTCCCACCTCCCCAGTTCCTGCTCACCGGTAGATATCTCTTGCCATCCCAAAGTCTCCGATCTTAGCCACTCTGCTGGGTCCAGTGCAGCTCAGTAGACAGTTCCGGGCGGCAATGTCTCTGTAGAACAGACAACATAATCACTGTGAGAACACAGTTGCTCTGGCTCTTCCTGATCTGTTTTTTTAAAAGTTGTCTATGGGGGACCTTCTTTGAGGGGACAAGTGGGGCTGAGGGCCTCCTGAGTCAGGATTGCTTCCAACCTGTGGATGAAGTGGTTTTCTTCCAGGTAGTGGCAGCCTTGGGCTATATCCTGGGCCAGCTGCAACAGATCCTGCATGGCCAGAGGTGATGGCTGGCCCTGGATTGGGCAGAAGGTACCTAAGTTGATCCTGGCCTTAGGACAAATGGTCAAGGTCTTGGAAGGGTCTTACCGGGTGTGCTCTGCTGTGTCTCAGAAAACTCTTCATATCCCCGCCAGACATCAGCTCCAGCAGAATGAGGCGAGGGGCAGCCTGGAAGCTGAGCCCCACACAACGAACGATGTTCTGATGGCTGAACTTGCTGGGTGGGAGTGGTGCACATACCCCATCACCAGTGGGGAGACAAGCATGCTCTAGACCCCATTAAACTACAGAAGACCTCCGTGCCCTAGAATGCTGCCTCTCAGCCCTAAAGAGAGGAGGGGCCATCCCTGCAGGCAGGTCCTGCCTCCCACCACACCCTCCTGCCTGCCCTCAGGGGCACCTGATGATGAGAGCCTCCATGAGAAAGTCTAGCTCGTCCTGTCTGGAGCAGAGCTCTGGCAGTGTCTGGGAAGGGAAAGAAGAACACCCAGCTTTGGCTGGGTGCTTTAGGAGGGTGATAAGCAAAGGCTATCCTCCAGTCTGTCCCTCCATGGTGTTCACCCCAACCGGAGACCCTACCCCTTCTCACCTTGATAGCCACCTGCAGAGGGCTGGAGTCCCCAGGAAGGCCAATGACTAGTCCCTCATACACCTCCCCAAAGGCACCATGGCCAAGGGCTCTACAAGAAAATAAGTTGGAAGGGGCAGAAGAGGGGCAGGTGGGACCTGAGTCGGTGCTAATGGGGTAAGGCCTCTCCTTGTGCTAGTGCCGCTCCTCCTGGGAAAAGGCAACCTGTGGGTTCCAGACGGTCATGTTCCCGGGTCTCTGCACCCCAGAACTGGGGCAAAAGCTGACCCTCTCACATGTTACTTTGCTTATTGGAGCTTGTGGAGTTTCCATCTCTGTATTAGGGGTGTGCGTTGTGTGCTCAGTGGGGTTGGTTCATAAAGCACCATGACAGGAGGAAGGACAGGGGTTCAGGGAGCACGTGAAAGGACTCACCTGAGAAGAGTGACATTGCCTGGGGAAACTTCCGTTAGCCCTGGGGGCAGAGGCCAGGGCTGGGCAGGGCTGAGCCCCACCTGACAGTAATAGGGGTTGGGAGCTGTCCTGATGGCAGAGGTGCGGAGCTTGGTCAGCTCCAGCTCAGGGCCCGGCAGCCTGAGCCACCACAGGTTCTGCCACTTCCTCTGGTTCACTAGGTGTGAGAAGGACAGAAGGACATTCTCTGCCTGCACCCATTAGGCCCACTCTGCCTCCCCGTACCCAGAACACCTTTCTAAATTAAGTCCTTTCAAATACATATTTCCCCATGACTCCCCAGCTTCTACTCCAAGTCTAGGGGAATCTACCATTGTTTTGTGGGAGTAAGGCCCTGAAGTCAGCTACACTTGCCCTGGAACCACAAAGATCATCACAGCCTAGGAGAGGAGGGTCAGCCTGCAGCAGCCATGCCTGCGAGATGTGCCTACCTAGAATGAGGACTCCACACATCAGGAGACTCAGTGTCAAGGCTGCCACCAGAGCTCCCATCAGAATCAGAGGGCTTGCAGTGGTTGGCAGATCTAGGGAGAAAGAAAGTCATCTCCAGCAGGCAGCAGGAGGCTCCACTGACCTCTGCCTTCAAGTATTTTTCTTATTTGTTTTGTGGGGTTTTTGTTGGTTTCTGAGACAGGGTTTCCCAGTGTGGTGCAGGATAGCCTCAGTCTCCTGCTTCAGCCTACCCACTGCTGGGATTACAGATGTGTGCTACCTTATCTGGGTACCCTTAAATCTCACCCCTACTTCAAGACTCAGCTCAGTGTTTACTCTTCCATGATGCCACCCACTGAGACAAAGGCAACTCTCCCTCCTGAGAATCCCTTAACTATTTGATACCTTCTATAGCAACTGCCATTTTTAGATACAGATCTATATCTAAATATCCATCTTGCCTCCCACACTGGCCTACATGTCCTTGACAGTGGAGTGTGCCCTGATGCGTTTCCAATCCTCTACCTGGAACTCCATAGAGTGCCTGGCCTTTACACTGTCTTTCCCAGTGCCCTGCTCCTACCAGCCTGTGTGTGACCCAGCAGTCAGACTGAGGGCAAAGACAAGACGTACCCATGCAAGTGACATTATCTGCAGCCAGCTCCATGCCCTCTGGGCATATGCATTCAGTCACCTGGAGCTCTGCCTGCCATTGGCAGTCTTTGGAAGTGCAATGACTGCAGTTTGGGTGCTTTCGGATTTCCACCTCTCCGTGGCCCTCTGTGACTGTGAGGGAAAGGTGAGATATGGCGGGGTGGGAGATGGGGATCAGCACGGGCCTGTGCGGACTTTCCAGCCACTGGGTTAATTCTAGCTTAGGAGTTTAGGGTAGCAGCAGTACCAACCACACCCACACAACACACAGGGCGAGGACAGAGCCTGGGGACTTATTTTTTCTTCCATTGATTTTATTCAGAGGCAAAGAGACGCATGCATGCACATGCTTACGGAAGTCAGAGTTCGGTTTTTTCCTTCCACTGTGGATTTGGAGCAACAAACTCAGATTATCAGGCTGAAGAGGTTTTACCTCCTGAGCCATCTTGGTGGCCCTGCCCAGGGGACCTCAGTCAAGCCTATATATTATACTTTGTTGAGCCCTGAGGCATCTGGAGAGAATTCACAGCAAGGATACTTGACTAGCAGTTGAAGATACCTGTACTAAGGCCACAGCTCACAGATGTTCTCAAATGTTCCTGCGCCATTTAAGAACTGGGAATCTCAGCTCAGCACAGATGGCACCTATGGTTGTGGGGCCAGGGATCAAGGGGATGGCTGGCCAGGCTGAGAGGCAGGAGGCTGGGGCAAATACCTGCCAAAGGCTGCAGGTAGAGCTCGCTGCTGGGGTGTACAAAGGATACGCCATCTTCCCCATCAGCCCAGAGGATGTCAGACTCTGAGGTGTCGCCACCTTGAAATTGAGAGTGATAGTGGTTTAGCTATGAAAAGGGGGAGAGGGTGGAGGAGGAGCACACAGCTGCCTCTCTTGCAGTTGGGAAGCTGGTTTAGGAAGAGCAGGACAGCTATGATCGCCCACTGTAAATCCTGTATGGCCTTCTCTACAATGGCATTGCCTTACAGGTACCGAGGGGCTAGAGAAGCGGGGACTGGCTGTTCTGCTGAAACCTAAAGACAGGCATAGCCTGGCTCCGATACCCTTTGTCTGTCTGAGCCCCTCCAGCCCCACATACTCACTGAGTTCAACCCACAAACTCCATTTCTGTGTGAACAAAGAGATGTGTCATAAAGTATTTATGAAGAGTCCAGTCCTGATAGATCAGGGGTTCCACTTCTTTACATCAGTGTCCCCAAACCATTAGGACCAATTAAAAGAGATGCTCAGCACCCTCCCCTGGAGTCATAGATTCTGGAGACTGGCCATGCATTTCTCTTAAAAATAACCAAAGTAATTAATTTCTAATTAAAAAATAAAATTTGGGGCTGGAGAGATGGCTCAGTGGTTAAGAGCATTGCCTGCTCTTCCAAAGGTCCTGAGTTCAATTCCCAGCAACCACATGGTGGCTCACTACCATCTGTAAAGAGGTCTGGCGCCCTCTTCTGGCCTTCAGGCATACCGACAGAATATTGTATAAATAAATAAATAAATTAATTAATTAATTAAACAAATAAATAAATAAAATTTGGGGGGCTGGAGAGATGGCTCAGTGGTTAAGAGCATTGCCTGCTCTTCCAAAGGACCCGAGTTCGATTCCCAGCAACCACATGGTGGCTCACAACCATCTGTAAAGAGGTCTGGTGCCCTCTTCTGGCCTTCAGGCATACACACAGACAAAAAAATTGTATACATAATAAATAAATAAAATATTTTTAAAAAATAAAAATAAAATAAAACTTGTATATTTATTGTACCCTATATGATACTTTGAGATATACATGCATTCATTGCGCAATCACTTACGCCAATCAACATATGTACTGTTGATAGTAAGAACATCTCACATCTACTCTCTTAGCCATTTTGTTATTGAGACTAGGGATGTAGCCTAGTGGTAGAGCCCTTCCCTGGCATGCCCATGGCACTGGGTTTGACCCAGAGGCTGGGTTTTATCCCCTACACTGACAGAACCAAAAACTTTGTTATTAATTGTGGTCTCCATATTGAACTAAAGATAACTTAAATTGACTCATTCTATCTAATTAAATTCCTTTCTAGCGTTTGGCCGACGTCTCCCCTGCTTCCAACCAGGCATTTGCATTTCTAACAACTCTTGTGGTGACACTTGCTCTGGGAAGTACTGACATCTTTGCCCTCCCCGTTCCCAGCTCAGCTTGCTCACAAGGCGGGCCCTAAATTCCTTCGATTTTGGCAGAGTAAGGACTGGTTCGGTTTGCAGCTGATTTGGGCTTTTCTTTTCTTTTTGTTTTTAAGTCAGAATCTCGCCGTGGGTCCCTGGATGGTCTGGAACTTAAGGAGATCTGCCTGTCTCTGCTTCCCAAGCACAGGGTTCAATGACTGTAACCAAGCCTGGCTAATTTGGTGGTTTGTAAAAGGCAAAACAAAACCAGCCTGTAGCCCAGCCTCAAACTCTCTGTCCTCAAACTCTGTTGCTCTGCTGTTACTAGGCAGGCGAATGTGGCCACCAAGCCCAAGTTTGACCTCCTTTCTAAGAGCACCTACTGTGGCTTGTCACCTTGGAGAGTGGGGCGTTCCCCATCCAGCCTCTGAAAAGTTCAGGCCAGGTTCTTAGTCTCTACCCTCACGTCACCAGGACTGCCCGGCTCCCCTCCCCAAGGGAGCACCTACCCCGGTAGCCGCCGCCGCCGCCGCCCGCCGAGCAAGCCCCGCCGCCGCCCCCGAAGCCTCCGGCCGCCGCCCAGCGGAGCGTGGCCCAGGCCTCCGCGCAGCCCTCGCCGCCCTCGGCCCCTTCCTGCAGTGAGCGTCCGGCCTGTGGAGAGGGGGCCCGCGACGTCCAGCCGCCTCCTCCGCCTGCGAAACGACAGCGGGCGACTAGCAGCGGCGCACGTGGCGGCCAGCCTCTCCCCTCCGCCCCGCACGCTCACCTGCTGCGCCCCCTCTCCCGCCGCTCCCAGGCGCCGCCGCGCGGTTCTCCAGTTTCTCCGGGGCCGCCTGAGTCCGACCACGGTCATGTCGCCTCCAGTAGGCCCTCCCGCCGCCTCCCGCCGCCACCAGCAGCGGCTCCGGTTCCCCCGCGCGCAACTACGGGGCCAGTGGCCGGTCAAGGGCCGTGTCCGTGTACTGGGGTACCCCCGGGAACCCAGACACAGAGAGGAGTCCGGGACTCCAACGCCCAGCTAGGGGTCGAGGCGGCCAGCACCCGGTGCACCTACCCGGAAGATGTAGGTGGCACCCCCGCCACCCCCGCCCCCGCCGGCCCAGCGTCTCCAGCCTGGGACCCTTTCGGTCCCATCCGTTGCCGCACGCTCTCCAGTGGCCCAAGACTCTCCGAGACAGACGAGCTGGCTCTCAGGGCTCCCCTGAGTGGCACCAAGGTGGAAATCTGCGTGACCAGGCCCCCCCCCCCTGCCTCCCAATGCTGGTGTCCAGGCACCAAGGACGCCTCCGCCTGCTCTTGGCCCGGGCGCCCCTTAACCCTCGCCCCGCTTACTCCGGGACAGGCGTCCTCGCCCTGTTGCCCCACAAGGATGTACAACGGCTCCCCGCGACGAAGGAAGAAGAGCGCCGAAAGGAAGATGCCGTGCGCCCGGGACAGGTGGTTTCTGGCGCCTTTGCCGCCGGCGGCTCCGTAGGCGGAGATCCTGAGGGGAGAGGACGCGGAGTTTCGCGCCTCAGTCCTGGGCCAGGCTGCGGCGCGAGGTCGGAAGCCCGCGGCTGGGAAACTTGCTAAGCGGCTTCGTGTGATCGGCTGTGAAGGGATGGGGCAGACTGGCCTTGCAGTTAGGTTCCGCGCCTATTTCAGGAGTGGTAATGGGGATGGCGGGAAAGAGTCAAGCCGCGCTTGGAGCCACTGCTGATTAGGCGGCATCCTGTGGATGGTAACAGGATCCCTGCTACCCGCTAGCTAACACGGGCCCTGTTGCTACACTTCTATTGAGTGACACTAGGCACGGCTGCGGAATACTTTAAGACTAAAAGTGATGGTGCTCTGGCTCCTGCTTCCTCGGACTGAAGCACCTTAGTCTAGCAGGTGACTGCCACCCTTGCCCTTACCAGGCACTTACAGATACTGGCCGGTGTCTGGCGCCCGCCACAGCTGCACGCCTTTCAGCGGCCCGGCAGCTCCCACCGTCACCATCACGCTGCTTCCCGTGTATGCCCCGTCGCACTGTGTTTGTGTGGGCCCCCGCCTGCCGCTGGCGCCACAGGTGTTGAACACCCAAGGCCCCCGCGTGCCTAGGTGCAAGGGAGAAGGCTTGTGTCCAGGCTTAGGGTTGATGGTGAGCGAAGGAAAGGGAGGAATCGGAAGCTCACCTAGAGGATTTGGATGGGAAGCTGGCTCCACTCTACTAGAGGTGGGGGTGATTTTCTGCCCCTGGGAATTGGAGACTAGCACCAGCAAAGGCGAGGATGTTAGAAAAGGTGCCTGGAACTCCGGGTTGGAGCAAAGAATAGTTCCTGAAAGGCGGCAGGGAGGAAGCAGCGTTACAAGAAGGTGCAGAATATGGAGAGACGTAAGAGATTGATGGCTCAACAGTATCCTTCTTGCAGCCACACCCCTAATGCTACCCAGAGGGCGCACACCAGAACCTGAAGCAGCCAGAGTCCCAACCAGGTAGCCCAGGGCCCTGCAAGGTGTCTGCATATACCAGGTTCTTCATTCCAGAGTTCTTCTCACTGAGTGACTAGGGGGCTGCACCGTGCCCGGCTGTACAGCACCTCCTCCCCTTTCCTCCATTTAGATTGGTGTCCTTACAAGGCCCACCCCATTCTTAGATTTGTAAGCGCTCTGCGCTTCCCTTGCTGCATTCTAGAAGCACAGACCAGAGAGCTCTGGTTCGAGGCCGCCTTAGAAGGAACCAGTGAGACCTGGTCTGTTTCTGACGCAACCCCAAATCTAGGTGTCTCTGGTTGGTTGGCACCCTGACCACCACAGTACTTACCGGCAGCTCCCAGCCACAGCAGCAGCCTGCAGGAGCAGCCCATCGCCCTATCCGTTGGGTCCAGCTGAGGATGTAGTCTCAGAGCCACCCCCACTACCCCGCAGACCTGGAGCTGGCCTGGCTACGCCCAAATGGGAGGGGGGAGCAAGAGGAGGAAAAGGCGGGGCATGTGGGCAAGCTTCCGGGAGGAGCCTTGCTGACCTCCCACCCAGAGTCTCAGTCACTAGCCACTGTCTCATCCACAGGCCACCCTAACAATCAGGTAGGAGAAAAAAGTTGGCCACACTCTGTTCGTCTGAGATAACAGCCTGGATGGCAGCCAGCCACATCCTAGCACTTGGCAGTGGCTTCTGTGGTTTCAGGATAGGAACAGAGCGAATGGTTTTATTAGTAGCAGTGTTAATGTGTGTGAATGCTCACACGTGGGAAGTATGCAGAACCAGGCTGGCCTTCAGAGACCCACCTGCCTCCTGAGTGCTGGGACCAGTGGCATATGCCACAGTGCCTTGCAGGAAGTCCTCTCTAAACTGTCCCCAGTGAGGCATTATTGCTTCTGACCACAGGACAGAACATGACTTTCTGGGCTGGTTACCCACAGTTCCACTGTCCTGTGCATAACTTGTTACTGCCATGACTGGACAAGGTGTCTGGGAACTCCAGCTGGGTAGCTCACCCTGCTACTCTAACACCTGCCAGTCAGGTGGAGAGAGTCCAGTGTTCAAGGTGATCCTTTGCTAACAAACTGAATGCCAGCCTGGGCTACAGGAGACTTCCTCTAAGAAAGCCAAACACGATTTAGAGACGTCAGGGGATCCAAGTGCTAGGACCCTAGGCAACACAGCAACACAGCCACGGTCCACACCTGTCATTCACACGCTAGGACACTTGAGTCACAAGTACCCAGGAGTTTCCACACTGAGAGGGCCACTGGAATTAAGCCTTCAGGTCGTTTTGTGCCTTGTATCTGTGAGGCCCAGCGGTGATAATCTAAGTCTGGGCAGGTCACCCAAAGGAAGTTCTTTACTTCCTCCAACCATTATCACTTGGGACTCTGGCTGTCGATGAATTTCAATGGAGGCCGAGTCTTATCTTTTGTTCAAAATGCTAATGTTAAGCCAGGTGTGGTGGCTCATGCCTGTAATTCCAGCACACAGAAGGCTGAGCAGGGAGGACAGCTATGAGTTCCAGGCCATCCTGAGCTAGTGTAATACTTTCTCTCAAAACAAAACTCTCTCTCTCTCTCTCTCTCTCTCTCTCTCTCTCTCTCTCTCTCTCACACACACACACACACACACCACACACACACACACACACTAAAAAAAAAAAATCAAAAACTAACCTCCCTACAAGAATAAATCTCTTGAAAAGGATCTCCTTCATCCATCTACAAAGGAAAAGAGATAGGGATTACCTAGTACCCAGTGCTAATTTCTTTCTAATCCATGGATGTGAACTACCCAGGATGCTAAAATCCTACCACAGTCATTAGCCCTGCACAAACAGTAGTCTTGTGTGTTGCCTGTTCCCCTGTCCTCTTTGGGCCTACAAGGAGGAAAGCAAGGGTTACGGGGGACATTCCTTTGGGAGGAGGCACACTACGTAAGAGTACCTGGATCAAGATGAGGGAGAACCATCCCAATAAATACTGGATTAAAAAAAAAATGGCCGAAGCCTGTTTTAACACCTGAAAACTGAAGTTACATCTAGTAGTTAGCTAGCGACTTGGTAAATTCTGAGCTGTGCAGTGGTGCCATTTAACAGAGGCGGGCGGATGTAAGCATGAGGCCAGCCTGGTCTACAGAGTGAGATCCAGGACAGCCAAGGCTACACAGAGAAACCCTGTCTAAAAAAAAAAAAATCAACCAACCAGCCAAACAAACAGAACAAAAACAAAATCTTGAAAACAACAACAAAAAGACCAGCCAGCCGTGTGATGAGCCACACCCATAATCCCAGTCCTTTGGAGATAAAGCCAACCTAAATTGCATATGGAGTTCAGAGTCAACCTGAGCTATATGAGACCCCATATAAAATAAGACACAGGGCCCGTGAGGTGGGGACCAATGAAGAATATAAAATAAAGCAGGGCAGTGAAAGGGTGCTTGCTGCCAAGCTGATGTCCTGACTCCCTGGGACCCACTTGGTGGAGGAGGACTCACTCTTCTTAGTGCTTCTCTGACCCTCACCCCCTAAAACACACACACACACACACACACACACAACGAATAAAATGTAATTTAAAGTTGAAAGGCTGAGAGCAGTGATGCACACTTGTTTAAGAAAATAAGTAAAGCCGGGCGGTGGTGGCGGACGCCTTTAATCCCAGCACTCGGGAGGCAGAGGCAGGCGGATATCTGTGAGTTCGAGACCAGCCTGGTCTACAGAGCTAGTTCCAGGACAGGCTCCAAAGCCACAGAGAAACCCTGTCTCGAAAAACCAAAAAAAAAAAAAAAAAGAAAAAAAAAAAAAGAAAAGAAAAAAAAAAGAAAATAAGTAAACAAAATGAAATTAGACAATTTATGTTTTGTTCTATCCTCCCAGTCATGGTCCTACTAAGGGGCTGAAGGATGGCTCAGTGGTTAAGTGCACCTGAGTTTGGTTTCCAGTACCTACGGCAGACAGCTTACAACCACCTATAGCCCCAGCTCCAGGGGATCCGACATTATCTTCCGGCCTCTGTGGCCACCTGCACACACGCCATTCATACACACAGAGGCATGCACATAAACTGGCCTACTGGAGTAACATACAGAAAGTACTACATCAGGCTGACATTGGCTTGGCTGACCCCTGTCCTTCCAGGGGCCTGCAGAATTCTCCAGGACCACACCCATTCCCAAAGGCACTGTCACTCTCACAGACTTGCAGGACACATCTTTCCTTCTCCAGATGGAGACTGTTTTTACCTCCCACCTCTCTCCTTGAGATAATCCACCCGAGACCAACTCTGAACATTACAAAACAGTCCGGATCAGCTAGAGTAGAAAAGAATTTATTTCAGTGGGTAGCACAGCAATGACACACCCTGGAGGTGAGGAGAGGGGACTCAGCCTGTTCTGTGCCCTCAGTGGGGTAAACAGCTAAGTCACCCTCCGCTCCTAGCACAGCCCTCAAAGCCCCAGATCCTGAGTTCCAGTATCGGGTGGAATAAGCATTCCTTCCGTTTCTAAAAAAGGCTCAAACAATGTGCTCGCAGGAAGGCAAGCCGTGTGTTCCTTTGTCCCCCACTTTCCCTCATGAAATGGTGTTCTTCTGTAAGAGCAGACTTCCAGTGTCAAGCCCCAGGAGAATATATCCATCTCAAGCTGGTGCCAAGTGTCCTATGTCTTTAATCCTCCATTCTGAAGCACCTCTGTGGGCAATGTCTGAAGGTACTGCTGTCTCAGATGAGGCAACTGGGAATACAGCTCAAAGCCCTCTGGGAGGCTGGAGTTGGGAAGCTTATAGTGGAGGAGATGCTGCCGCAGACCCTGTAGAGAGGGCAAAACCATGAAGTGGGTGGTGAGTCTGTTGAGGTTTGGTTCCTTAAGCCCCTGTATCTTTCATCTTCCCAATACCCACAGTCCTACCTCATCTGCCAGCAGCCACGTTTTCTGCAGCATATTCCTCCGGGAAGCCTTCACCTCATCCTAGGAGCACAAGAGGGAGATGTGATATCTAGCCGAGGACTGATACCCACCACTGGCCTGGTTAACTCTCATCCCCTTCCCAACTGGACCACCAGCTCCCCTCCCACTCTGAATATGACGATGGGACTTACTGAGCTCTTTGGGTCTTGGGAGAAGATGAAACTATTGACATGAGCCACAGCTACAGTGTAGAGGACAGGGCACCAGTGTGGACGGAGCACGCCAGTAACCAGGGCCCGGAAATAGAGCCGAAGGAGAGGCAGGCTGTCCTCAGCGGGCTCTGTGAAGCACTCCAAGGGCACAGGGAGCTGTGAGGGAGGGAATGAGCTCTGAGGGCAAGGGTGGAGACGTGCGCAGCGGACAGTGGTGGGTGACTCCCGGCCACAGGAGCCAGAGCAGCAGGTCCTCAGGGCAAAGACTAGTGCTGGGCAGGGCTCAGAGCCCGAGCACCCTCTTGGGATAGTACAGCCCTGGGATACATTTCCAGCACACACAGTATTGATTTCTTAAGCCTATTTAATGATGACAAATGCTTATGATATAGGGCTAAATGAAAAAGTTCTCTATGCAGTAGTTCCTATTTTATAAAAATATACAAGTATTCAAAAGAGACTAGAAAAAATATAAACAGTTGTTACTGAGCTGGGAGTGGAAGCACAAGCTTATCATTCCTGAATACATCCAGAGGACTGGGGCCAGCCTGGGATACAAAGGAAGGCACTGTCTCAAAAACTTTTTTTTGAGACAGTCTCTGTTCTCTGTGTGGCTGTTTGTCTTGGAAGTCACTCTGTAGATCAGGCTGGCCTCAAACTCAGAGATCTGCCTGCCTCTTCCTCCTGAGTACTGGGATTAAAGGTGTGTGCCACCATATCTGGCTCTAAAACTATTTCATTATTTATTTATTTATTTGGTTTTTGGAGACAGGGTTATCTGTGTAGCAGCTCTGCTATCCTGGAACTCACAGAGATCCTCCTGCCTCTGCCTCCCACATGCTGGGTTAAGACATGCACCACCATGCCCAGCATGGGCTTCACCACCCGTTAGGACTTTGCCTCTTAGCTTTATTTCCAGCAAATGCTTCACAGAAATTTCCCAAAAGAGTCAAACTCTCCCCAAACTTCCCCACCAGGCCAAAACTCTCTCCCCAATAAAACTTCTTCCTTACAGAAAGTCCACTCTGATTGTTGTAAAAATTCTCTGAACTCTGACTCACCTTAAGTTTGGGTGATTGAGATCTATGGTTTCGTTTCTGGTCTTAGCATACCTTTCACCTAGGCTCCGAGAGTTTACAAGTAGAAGGGAACCTTGCTAATACCAATGCCTACTCTCTGCCAGATACCATGGTAAAAACCCTCCTATTCTCTACCATCCTGACACCTTCAAAGCTCCCAAGAGGTAAAACGAGGAACCCCGACACGCCAGAGCCCCGCAGGCTCAGGACGGCGGCCCTTGT